CCCCCAAAACCGCAAAAAATCCCCCCAAAACCCCTTTTTTTTTTTTTTTTTTTTTTTTTTTTTTTTTTTTTTTTTTTTCCCCTGACCAAATGCGGTGTTTATGGAAACGCTGCCCTCCTGCTGCTCACAACCAGGACTGACTCCAAACCCTTTCCCCCCGCCCTGGAAAGTCACAGCTAACCCCTTTTGAGCCCCAGAAGTAGAAAACTGGGTTAAGATGGGGAGCAGAGGATCCCCAAACCCCCTCTTTGGGGGGGTTCTGCCTGGGTGGGAGGTCTGGCAGTGCCATGTCCCCTCCAACTCCTTGGGACATGCTCCTGGTCCCTGCAGTGACATTTTCCCGGGCTGCAGAACGGGGCCAGGCTGACCCTGCTTCTGTAGGAGCAAAACTTGCCCTTTTGGGCTGGAATTTGCCCTTTGCAGCTCTTTGCTGGGGGCTTCCCCCCTCCTTCCCTTCATCCCACAGTGCCAGCGCATCGATGTCACCCGGCGTGTCCCCCCTGGCCACCCACCCCAAGGCAGAACGAGTCCTGCAGCTGCTGCTGCGATTTGGCTGCGTGGGGGAGGAATCCAGCCCCGGGGACAGGGGGGTTATTCCACCCCCCTCCCTCTTTTTGGCCGCCTTTTCGGGGTCTCTGAATGCCCGAGTGTGTGACAGGCACAACAAGGCTCTTTATATCCCGCGGGGCTGCCAGGAAATCATCCAGCGATGCTCCGGGGGCCCTGCGCCCCAAAATCAGGGCTGGTGCTGTGGGGGTGGAGCGGGGGGAGCCCCCAGCCTCCCTCCCTCTGCTCCGGGGGTGAAACTGGGAATTTAATCACTTTTCCTTCTCTCGGGCGCCGTTCCCTGCGTGCTGCTCCCAGCGGCTCGGTGGGAAGGGCTGCGGCTCCCTGCTCGGAGCAGGAGGAGCAGGAGCTCGGCGGGGTTGGTTTTTCGGTGGTTTTGGGGTGTGGGGGATGCCGGCTGGCTCGGCAGGGCTGTGCCGGCTCCGGAGCCGCCCCGTGCCGGCGTTGTGGCCGCGGTGCCGCTGCCTGGCACGGCCCCAAGGCTTGCAGGGCTGGCGGGGCAGGCGGCCAGCCTGCCTATAGAGGGATGTATGGGAAGCTGGGAGCACAGGAATGTTTTTTCCGGAGGAAACGGAGCTAAAATTGTTCTCAGGGACGAGCGGGGGGGTGTGGGTTTTCCTCTGGTGCTGATGGGATGGAGCAGGGGGGTGTCAGTGGGAGGACAGGAGTGAGGGGCTCCCAGTGCAGGGGTTCCATGGCCAGGGATGCTCCTGGGACACCCTTGCACTGAGGGAGTGGCCTGGCTGTGCCACGGGCTCCTGGGAGGATGCTGAGCATCTTCCCAGGATGTGGCACTTGGGATTTGGCTGGGCTGCTGCTCTCCCCCAGGAGATCTCTGCACGATCATGGAATGGTTTGGGTTGGAAGGACCTTAAAGAACATCCAGTGCCACCCCTGCCATGGGCAGGGACACCTTTCACTGTCCCAGGCTGCTCCAAGCCCTGTCCAGCCTGGCCTTGGACACTGCCAGGGATCCAGGGGCAGCCACAGCTGCTCTGGGCACCCTGTGCCAGGGCCTCACCTCCCTCACAGAACATAATTCCTTCCCAAAATCCCATCCATCCCCGTCCTTTGGCAGTGGGAGCCATTCCCTGTGTCCTGTCCCTCCATGCCTTGTCCCCAGTCCCTCTCCAGCTCTCCTGGAGCCCCTTCAGGCCCTGCCAGGGGCTCTGAGCTCTCCCTGGACCTTTCTCCTCTCCTGGTGAGCACGCCCAGCCTGTCTCCATGGAGGTTCTCTCTGTCAGAGGGCCCTTTTGGGGTGGTTGCATGCCCTGTGGTGTGTGTGGGGCTGCCTCTCACATCCCTGCTCCCCTTCCTTCACTCCTCTGCTGTGTTCCTGCTCCTCCATGCCATCCATCTGTCCTGCTCTCCCTTTGGCAGCTCAACACCTTCCAGGCAGTCATAGCCTACAACGATGAGGACACCTACACCATCTTCCTCTACCCCGACGGTGGTCTCCAGTTCCTGGGGACGCGACCCAAGGAGTCCTACAACGTCCAGCTGGAGCTGCCAGCCAGGGTGGGCTTCAGCTGGGGGGACAGCGATGACCCCAAGAGGGACGGGCTCTTCCACAGCCTGGCCAGCAGTGAGCAGGCTCTGAGGAACCTGGAGAGGTGGGTGGAACCTGGGGGGCTGTGGCTGTGGGCAGGGAGAGCAGGGTCACCTTCTCCCAGCCCTGGAGCCTTTCAGAGCCTGGAAAAATTTGGGGAGTGACCTTGTGGTGCTGGGCTCCATCAGGGGCTCAGCCCCACATGCACAGGTGCTGTACTGGGGTCCTGGAGGGGTGGTGCCACCTTTGGGGTGGCTTTTCCAGCATGGCTGTGGTGACGTTCGTGTGTGCTGTGTCCACAGGGAGAGCAACACGGGAATCCCTGGCGTCTGGGTTTTCCACGTGGGCAGCACGGAGCACGTGGAGCCAGGGGGTGGCGAGGGAGCTGCTCCTGCTGTGCCTCAGAGCCCCCCTGAGCACCCCAACCCTGGCACCGCTGGCTACCCCCACCCTCTCTCCAGCCACACAGCCATGGCCCAGCGTCCCAGCCACGGGTCCCACGGCCCGGTGCTCCTGGGCTTTGTCCCCGGGAGGAGGGACACGCAGGAGCGGAGCCGCTGGCTGCAGCCCAGAGGGGACGGTGGCACCGGGCAGAGCTTCTCTGCCAACCCCTCCTCCTACAGCTCGGGCCAGCACGGCGTGGGCGTGGAGGAGGACGTGCATTTCAACCCCGACGGTGAGTACAGCCCCTGTGACAACCCAGCGGGGACAATGACCCAGCGGGGACAGTGGCCGACTGGGGGTGGCTCCCTAAAAAAGGCCCCTGGCTGGAATTTCACCCTGTCCCAAGTGGCTGGTGCTGGAGGAGCCGCTCCTGCAAAGCTGCTGCCCTTGCAGCTCCTCCTCTCAGCCCCATCCCGCTAGAGCCACACAGCCCTGCCCGCCGGGCGTGCCAAGGGAAAAGCGGGGGGCCTGGAGCTTGGGATGGGGTGGGAAGCTCAGGGGACAGGTCCCAGAAGTGCCCTTGCCACCCTCCCAGCCACCGAGCCAGCTGTGGAGCCACCGTGGCACGTGCCCGGGGGAGCAGAGCCCTGTCCCCAGCCAGCTGTCTCCCAAAAATACCGTCAGGAATTTGATCCCGTGCCCTCTGTCAGATCTGCCTGAAGTCAGGCAACAGGTTCCAAACCCTCCACCACCCCTCTGCATCCCGGGTGACTCTCTTGGGAGCCACCACTGCCAGCTGGCTCGTTTCCAGGCGACGCTTTGGGTGCCAAGAAGGCAAAGCACCCACCCCCCGTGAAAGGCGGCTTTGTCATTGTGTCCCCAAGCTTTTCCCCTTGTCCCCAGTGTTCACCTACAGCGCCGCCAGCAAGGAGACGTGTGCCCAGCACCACGGGCGCTGCTCCCCTCATGCCTTCTGCACCGACTACGCCGCCGGCTTCTGCTGCCACTGCCGGGCCACCTTCTACGGGAACGGGCGGCAGTGCCTGCCCGAAGGTACGCGGGGCGGGCGGCGGGGACGGGCAGCCCGTGCCTGGGTGGCCGCTGCCAGGGGTGCCCATCTCCCCACCCAGGCGCCGTGCATCGCCTCAACGGGAAGGTGAGCGGGAGCCTGAGGGTGGGACGGGCGTCCGTCCGCTTCCAGGACGTGGACCTGCACGCCTACATCGTGGGCAGCGACGGCAGAGCCTACACGGCCATCAGCGGCGTGCCCCAGCCCGCTGCCCGCGCCCTGCTGCCCCTGCTGCCCATCGGGGGGCTCTTCGCGTGGCTCTTCGCCCTGGAGGAGCCTGGCTCGGAGAACGGCTTCAGCATCACCGGTGAGCGCGGGTTTGAGAGGTGCCGTCGCTCCCAGGGGTGTGGCTTCTGCTTGGGGTGGGGGGCAGCTCTGTGGTGTCTCCAGTCCCTCTCTCAGCTGGTGCTCACCTCTGGTTGTGACCCCCCATGCTGGAGTAGCAGGGAAGGATGCTTTGGGGTTGTCCCTACAAATGGTGCCCATTCCCTTTTCCTGCCCAGGCGCTGAATTCACCCAGAGCCTGGAGGTGACGTTTTACCCCGGTGGGGAGACGGTCCAGGTCACTCAGACAGCCGAGGGCCTGGGGCCGGACAATTATTTAAGCCTCAGGACACACATCCAGGGTGAGGTGCCATTCCTGCCAGAGAACGTCACCGTGCACATCACTCCCTACAAGGAACTCTACTCCTACTCCAGCTCAGGTGAGACCTGTGCCCACCCTACACACCACCCCTGAATGCCCGAAAACACCCGAGCCACATCGATGCTGACACCTTTTTTCTCGCATCCCACGGGGTTCTCCGTGCCGTCCGGCAGCCGTGACATCCTCAGGCCAGCGGGAATACGTGGTGGCCGCGGGCACCGCCAACCAGACCTTGTCCTACCGCCTGCGCCAGAACGTCACCTTCTCGGGGTGCCCGCACTCGCGGCTGCCGGCGCGGCAGCAGCTCTCGGTGGCGCGCGCCTTCGCCCTCTTCGACAGCCACGAGCACGTCCTGCGCTACGCCCTGGCCGCCCGCATCGGCCCGGCACGAGGTGAGCGCCAGCACCCACCCCCGGGTGCCAATCCGAGTGCCAATCCAAGCTGCCAGCCCCTAGCGGGGATGCCGCCGCCTCCCAAAGCTGCGGTGTGCTGGCTTTGCCCAAAATCAGCCAAAAAGGAGGGGTTTTCCAAGCAGTTTGAGTGCAGCGCTGCTGGCGTGGTGGGGGTGGCACGGCCGTGGTTCCCTGCATGGGACAGCGGCGCTGCAGCGCAGTGGTGATGCCTGCATCGGGTGTAAGTGGGGTGTAAGTGACTCTCTGTGTCTCCCAGATCTTTTATTCCCCCCCAACATCCCTGTGTGCCCGCAGACGACGCCGAGAATCCCGGGGTGAGCCCGTGCCACGATGGCTCCCACACGTGCGAGGCGCCGGCGCGCTGCCAGCCCGGCGTGGGCACAGAGTACACGTGCGAGTGTGCAGCCGGGTACCGCGGAGATGGACGGGGCTGCCGAGGTCAGCAGGGCTGGGGGGGAACTGGGGGGGAGCTCTGGTGCCCACAGAGCTTCACCAAGCACAGGGATGCATCATGGGGGGAAACTGAGGCAGGGTGCTGGAGGTCCCTGGGGAAGCGCTCCAGGAGCAGACAAAAAAGAGGAGGGAAAAAAGGAGATACAGGGAAAAAGCAAAAGCAGTTGAAGAATAATTCCTGCATTTCATAAATCCAGCCAGCTTTGTTGTTGCTTTCCTATCACTCCAAACTTCACATTGCAAATTTTATTTCCTTTTAGTCCCTTTCCACAAGAAGCTGCCCAGTGCCAGTGAGTTGAACTGCACAGTGATGCTGGCGAGGAATTTGAGGATCCTGCCTTTCAATAAGGAGCAGGTTTCCTTCTCCTAAAATCCCAGGTTAAGTGACCAATCTGATCACTTAATTTCAGGAGAAGGAAACCAAGTTTTAAACCACAAATAGCTGAGAATATTGGTGTGCCTTGAACAAATGCTTCTTTGTCAAAACTATACACCAAAAGCGATCTTGTTCTTTTTTCCCTTCTATTTTGAGCTGATTAGAAAGTTAATTCCGTAGTTGATTAAGTTCAGTGACAGACATGGGCATGGGGAAGGATATTCTCTGTCAGACCAAGAAGCAGCCAGACCACGAAGGTGGGGGTGTCCCACCACCATCGGGGTGCCCGGTGTCTCCTCCTTTCCCCAGATGTGGACGAGTGTGCCGAGGGCCTGAGCCAGTGCGGGCCCTTCTCCGTGTGCCTGAACGTGCCGGGCAGTTACCGCTGCGAGTGCCGCGACGGGTACCAGCCGGCGGGGGACGGGCAGGCGTGTGTGCGTAAGTGCTGACCCCAGCTGGGGTGTCCCCCACTCCTGTGCCCCACGGACGTGCCCTGACCACCCCTCCCCTGTCCCCACAGCGCTGGCACCGCCGAGTGACCCCTGCGAGGATGGGCGGCACCCCTGTGCTCCGGCGGACCGGGCGCGGTGCCTGTCCCGCGGTGACGGCCGCGCCACCTGCGAGTGCCTCCCCGGCTACACCGGCGACGGCATCCACTGCTCCGGTAAGGTGGGCACAGGAGGGACCCCACACCGCAGCTGTCGGGGTGTCCCTGTCCCCGCTGATCCCATCTTCCCCCTGCACAGACGTGGATGAGTGTGCCGAAAGCCCGTGTCACCCGGCCGCCATCTGCTACAACACCCCGGGCTCCTTCTCCTGCCGCTGCCGGCCCGGCTACGCGGGCGACGGCTTCCAGTGCACGTACGGTGAGGTGCCCGCTCAGCCCCGTGCCCTCTCTGCCTGGCACGGCTTCCCCAGCCTCACTCTCCTCTTTTGTGCCTTTCCAGCGGTGGAAGGGAACCCGCAGCGCCTCACGCCCTGCCAGCACGAGCGGATGTACCCGCGGGAGGTGCCACCCCTGGGTGACGGCCACGTGCCCCAGTGCGACGAGCAGGGCCGGTACCGGCCCCTGCAGTGCCACGGCAGCTCCGGGCACTGCTGGTGCGTGGACGCCGCCGGGCAGGAGATCGCCGGCACCCGGACGGCACCGGGCACCACCCCGCCACGCTGCGGGAGCCCAGGTCAGTGACACCCCCCAGGGGTGAGGGGAGCAGGGTCGGGTCCTTGGGCATCTGGCTGGTGTCCCAGTGGCTTCCCACTTCACTTTCCAGCAGTGTGGGGACAGTGGGACCACAGCGAGTGGAGGGGAGCCGTAAGCTAAACAGCCATAAATTAAAACTTGAGAGGTTTCACCTCAGCACAAGGAAGAATTTCCTAATGCTGAGGGTGGCAGAGCCATGGAAAAGCTGCCCAGGGAGAGTGTGGAGAGTGTGGAGTCTCCCTCTCTGGAGATATTCCAAACTCACCTGGACACATTCCTGTGTCACCTCCTCCAGGTGACCCTGCCTTGGCAGGGAGGTTGGACTGGAGGATCTCCAGAAGTCCCTTCCAGCCCTAAGGATTCTGTCACTCTGTGACCCTCCGCTCAACCACCCTTCTGGGTGGTTCTTCTTCACAGTGAAGCCTTCTGGGGCTTCACTGTGGGCAGGGTGCTGTCAAGTGGGTGCATCGAGGGGCTCCTGGGTGTTTAGGGTGCCCTGGCCCATTGGGTTACAGTGGCTGTGGCCATTGGGCCACCTCCTGTGTCAATTTCTGATGGAGGGAACAGCAGTGAGGTGTTGAGGGGGCTGGAGTGGGGCAGCCCTGGCCACCACCCCAGACCAAGGGGTGCTGGTGGACAGGGGACAAGTGATGCCAAGGTGCCAAGTGGCTCCAGGGGAGCTGGTGGCACCCCCTGAGCCCGGGTTGGGGGTGTTTACCGCCGGCAGAGTCCATCCAGCAGCTGACGCCCTGCGAGCACGCGCGGATGTACCCTCGGGAGGTGCCACCAGGGCCGTCACCCGTGGGCGATGGCCACGTGCCCCAGTGCGACGAGCAGGGCCGGTACCGGCCCCTGCAGTGCCACGGCAGCTCCGGGCACTGCTGGTGCGTGGACGCCGCCGGGCAGGAGATCGCCGGCACCCGGACGGCACCGGGCACCACCCCGCCACGCTGCGGGAGCCCAGGTCAGTGCCCAGGGGGACACAGCCAGCAGGGAGAGGGGGACACAGGGCTCTGCCAAGCCCTGAGTCCCCCGAATAGGGTGGTGACTGTCACCCTGCCGTGCCAGAGCCCACGGAGAGGCCCCCCAGCATGTGCGAGCGCTGGCGGCAGAGTTTGCTGGAGCACTACGGGGGCAGCCCCCGCGGGGACCAGTACGTGCCACAGTGTGACCCCAGCGGGGACTTCACCCCGCTGCAGTGCCACGGGGACAGCGGCTACTGCTGGTGCGTGGAGCAGAGCGGCAGGGAGATCCCGGGGACGCGCTCCGAGCCCGGCACCACCCCGCCCTGTAAGAGCCCAGCGCCCCAAAGTGACCCTGGGCACCGACAGCACGGGCACCGCGTCCCGCTCCGGGCGTGGAGCCCAGGGGACGACGCTTCCTGAGCCATCTCTGTCCCCTCCACGTGCCAGGTCTGCCCAGTGTCGCCCCGCCCAGCGTCCGACCTGAGCCCCGGCCCGACGTGTCCCCACCGGGCGCGGGGACATTCCTGCTGTACGCCCAGGGCCAGCAGATCGGCTACCTGCCGCTGAACGGCACCCGGCTGCAGAAGGAGGCGGCCAAGACCCTGCTCTCCCTGCATGTACGGTACCCTTGGGGTGGGGATGGGGTGCAGGAGCACCGAGGGGGCTTGGGACAGGCTGGTGCTGCCACTGGGTGGTTTCACCTCTGTCTGAAGCGCTTGTCAGGGTTTGAGGGGGTCACCTCTTGAGGGTTGATGCTGGTGTTTGGGGACATCGGCTGTGCTGGCTGCCTTGGTGGCGCTTTGGACAAGTGATGAGGGGGAGCGGCTTCCCAGTGACAGAGGGCAGGGTTAGATGGGATATTGGGATGAAATTATTGACTGGGCGGTGGGAAAGCCCTGGCACAGGGTGCTCAGAGAAGCTGTGGCTGCCCCAATCCCTGGAAGTGTCCAAGACCTGGTTGGAGCAGCCTGGGCTAGTGAAAGGTGTCCCTGCCCATGATCTTTAAGGTCCCTTCCAACCCAAGCCATTCTGGGATTCTATGGATTCTATTTTCACCTCCCTCCAGCCATCTCCAGCACAGAGACAGGTCTTAGACAGGTCCCAGACCTGGGACTGCTTATGAAGGTGCCCCCAGAGCTCTCTAGGGTTGGTTTCAGCCCAGACTTCCAGCTGCAGGGCTGGCCTTTTTTCCTTCCTTGGACTCCCCTCGGAGCACGGCCATGTGCCTCTCCAGCCAGGCCAGACCAAGGCAGAGGAACACTGGAATCTGGGCCAGGACCCTCCCTGCACCCTGGGGAAGTGAAGGACCTTGCCAAGTATTCCCTCTCCCCATCCTAAAGGTCATTCCCCGGGCTGGCTTTGCTCTTGGAGCACCCTTTTCTTCAGGCAAAGGGTTCAAATCCATCTGGATGTGGGTGTGAGCCTGCACCAGCTGGCCTAAAATCCTCAGCTGGGAGGGTGCAGTGGGAACAGAGCAGAGTTTTACTGGGGAAATGGGATTTGAGTGTCATTCCCACTTTCAGCATGTCCCAGGCAGCTCTCAGTGCCAGCTGATGGGTTGAGGTTTCTCCCTGAGCCTCCTGGCAGGATTTCACTCCGTGTTCCTCTCCCGACCCTGGCAGGGCTCCATCGTGGTGGGGATTGACTACGACTGCCGGGAGAGGATGATCTACTGGACTGACGTGGCCGGCCGGACCATCAGCCGGGCGGGCCTGGAGCCAGGCTCCGAGCCAGAGACCATCATCAGCTCAGGTGTGCTCCTGTCCCCAGTGTCACCTGCCCAGAGCCACATCTGCTCTTCCCATCGCAGCTCCGGGCTCCTCCAGTTGGTGCCTTATCGGGTTACCTAAAAACAGAGGCCAGACAAAATTAAGGGAATAAAAAGGAGTTTATATTTATATTTAGTGAAGGTCCTTCAGGTATATTTTGGCCAGACAAAGCCCACTCAGGGGCTACACCCAAAAATGGACAATTTTCACACTTTTATAAGTTTGGTCCATTTGCATATTGGGGGTTAATCTTTCAATTACAGCTTCAGGAAATGAAGTGATTTACCCCAGGTTTGCTCCCTCCCCAACTCACTTTTGTTAACACCTCTTGGTGCCTGAGGCAGTGAGGTGTCCTTGATTCCCAGGCCTGGAGAGGAATTGTTGTGTCTGACCAAAAGGGGAAAGCAGCAGCTCAAACTGTAGTTTACATTTATACACTAAAAAATTACAATTTTTTAATTGTATTTTTTTAAATTTAGGATTACAAATACATGAAAATTATAAAAGCTAAAACCTTAAGGCATCACCCCCCTTCGCCTTTGGGCTGGAGATGCCTGAGGGATCCCAGAGCAGCATTTTTCCACCAAAATTCCATTTGCATACTTTACTGGATTTCTCCCAAACTAAAGCTGCCAGCAGCTAGGACCCTGCAAGTCCTTCGAGCCCCAAAGGCCACCTTTCATCTGATACCCCGACCCTGGGGAAAGGACATCTTTTTCCCATGGAATGTGGCCTCCCTTTGCGCCCAGGAAGACGGTGGGCTGCCATGCTTGAAATTTGCAAACTTTGCTGGATTCCTCCAAAACTAAAGCTGCCAGCAACAAGGACCCTGCAAGTCCTTTGAGGCCCAAAGGCCACCTCTGAGCTGATACCAGACCCTGGAGAAATGACTTCTTTTTCCCACGGAAAATGGCCTCCGTTTGTTTCCAGTCGCACTGGCAGGCAGTGGGGCGCTGAGCTAGAAATTTGCAGACTTGTCTGCATTTCTGGATTTTACGTGGCCATCTCCCAGCAGGCCTGATCAGCCCCGAGGGCCTGGCCGTGGACCACCTGCGCCGGGCCATGTTCTGGACGGACAGCGGCCTGGACAGGATCGAGCGGGCCCGGCTGGACGGCTCCGAGCGCCGCGTGCTCTTTGACACCGAGCTCGTCAACCCCCGCGCCATCGCCGTGGACCCCGTCCGAGGGTGAGCAGCACAAACCCCGCAGGGATTTGGGGACTGGGCTTTGCAAGGTGCCGAGGCTGCTGGGGATAGCCTGGGGGGGCATTTCCTGCTTTTGGGAGACGCAAGGAGATTCCCTCAAAAAGCTGTTCGACGCCATTGGCTCCTTCCCCCGTTCCTGTGTCTGTTCCTGTGTCCCTGAGCCACTCCTTCCCTATTCCCTGACTGGCCCTCATCTTTTTACTGCCCCAAGACCAGGTTCACCCCCCAGGCCCCTTGGCAGAGAGAAACTTAGACTCTCCATGTGTGGGTGCTGATCATCTCACCACGTGGCTGAATAAAACATCTGTGGATGTTATGCAAAGGTCCTTTTTGCTTCCTTACCCTGGACTATGCTAGCAGCAATTCAGCCTGCTACGGGTCCTGTCCTGACCTTGTCCTGTAGGAGGGATTGGCTCTGCTCCCCAGCCTCTCTTTTTATTGAATAATTTGAGATCTGGCTAAAACTGCTGTTTCAGTATCAGGATGTAGATTATTTTGAAGAGCTGTGCCTCCAGGGTGCTGCTGTTGGGATACAAAATGTGCTGCTCCTCAGACTCGCCCTCGTCGAGGAGCTGCAGTTTGGGTCATAAACATCTCTGCTTTGTTTGGAGAGGTTTTTTCCTAATCAAATAAAGATGGTTCAGGCACTGATAAGGGGAAAAACCAGGCCTTGCTCCTGGCAAGAACCAGGATAATCTCCCACCACTCCTTACTGTTGTGTGCCCTGTTTGTGCGTTATTTCCCAAGCAACCTTTACTGGACGGACTGGAATCGCGAAGCTCCCAAAATCGAAACTTCCACTGTCAATGGAGCCAACAGGAGGGTTCTGGTGCACACAGACATTGGTTTGCCCAATGGCCTGACTTTTGACCCCTTCTCCAAGCTGCTGTGCTGGGCAGACGCAGGTAATGTCCCCAGGGATGGATCAGAGAATGTCAAACGAGACCTTGAGGGAAAATCCTGGGTGTCTTCAGCCCAGTGCTACCTGTGGCCTCCAATGTTGTGCCAGCCGAGGTTTAGATTGGATTTTAGGAAATATTTCTTCATGGAAAATGTTGTTGCTCAGGGCAGTGGTAGAGTCCTTGTCCCTGGAGGGATTTAAAAGCTGTGTGGATGTGGCATGTGGGGACATGGAGCAGTGGTGGCCTTGGCAGTGCTGGGAGATGGCTGGACTTGGTCTTAGGGAGTTTTTCCAACCCTGAATTTTATGATTCTACATCTTCATGCTGAAAAGCTGTTTCAAAATGCAGTAAATCAGGAAAAGGCTCTTCCCCCAGAGGGGGCTGGCACTGCCCAGGCTCCCCAGGGAATGGGCACAGCCCCGAGGCTGCCAGAGCTCCAGGAGCTGCCAGGGATGCCCAGAGTGGGATTGATGGGGTGTCCTGTGATCCTTATGAGTCTGTGAAATACCAAGAACATATTTGGTGTGGCATTTCCAGTGGGATGGGGGATATTTTGTGTTTGAACAGGCACCAAGCACCTGGAATGCACATTCCCGGACGGCACCGGCCGGCGCGTCATCCAGAGCAACCTCAACTACCCCTTCAGCATCATCAGCTACGCCAACCACTTCTACCACACGGACTGGAGACGGTGAGCAGGGAAAAATCCACCCCCTGCACGCCTGGGAATGCTCAGTTCCCCTCCCCGAGAGGAATCCCAGCCTGCTCCCAAATCCTGGAGCCTCCCCGGAGCTCTCGTGGGTCTCCGAGCGTGGCTTCAGCAACACCTGCTTGTAAATCTCAGCACGGAGGAGTTGTTTAGACACAAGCCCAGCTCCCTGGGAGGGACAGAAACAGTGGTTTGGGGTTTTTTTTTTTTTTGAACTGAAACTTGGCTGAAGTCTCTGGATGTAGATCAGGTCCAAGGAAAGATCCTGTCCTCAGCCGTTCCCTTTGCCTCGGCAGCAGGAACTCGCCTCTCTTCCCGCTCCAGCTGGAAGCTCTCACAGCTCCCATCCAATCTTAGGTTACAACAAACACTTAAGGGCTTGCCACGCTTGGAGGAGACTCTCAGGGAGATAATCTCTCCTTGGAAGGCTCTTTTCTGCGGCTGCATCACCACAGAGAAATGCACTGGCTGAGCTGGAGGAGGATTTTACAGGGCAAATCTCTTTCCACTTGTCCTGCAGGTGTTCAGAGCAAGATTTTCAGCTGCCTGTTCTTAAACACAAATAAATATGGGAAAACCCCCCAGGTTTCAGAGGTGAATAAAACACTTCTTCCCCTTTTTTCACCAGGGATGGGGTGATAGCTGTAAATAAAGAAACAGGCTCCTTCACCGATGAGTATCTTCCAGAGCAGCGATCCCACCTCTACGGAATCACAGCAGTTTATCCCTACTGCCCTGGAGGTAAAACCCACCCAAACCCCATCCCCTTGGGAATTCTGATGGCTGCTGGGTGCCTGAAAAATCTCCACTTCACATTAAAAATCTCCGTTTCTCCCCACAGCCAGGAAATAGTAACTCCATTTTCAAGGGAACAAGGATCTTTGCACCCAGAGGAATTTCAGACCCAGAGAACTGTCACTGCATACAAGGGGGAAGAAGTCCCTCACCAAGGCCAATGAAGTGCCCTGCTTTCCTGCAAAAGATTTTCAAGTCTTTTTTATAGTTATACCTCAAGACTTTACTACTGTATTTTTTTACCAAGTGGAAAATGTTGAGATATCACCAAAAAAAAAAAAGATCCTGGGAAGCTCAAGCCATGACTCGAACTCTCGCTCATACAAGATTTAAAATGTAGCTTTTTTTTTCTACTCCAATATTTTATTTTATTGGAAGAAGAATGGATTAATTTTTCATAGTTTTGACAATCTGACCAAGAGGTCCTTTTATCCAAAAATAAGAAATCAAGTGCCTGTGGGAAGCTGTGGCTGCAGTAAATTGCTGGGTCTAATTAACAAACTGCCCTGAAGACAGAGACTGCGTGTGCTCCAAAATCCTGCAGAACAGGGATGGGATGTGGCAAAGGCACTGAAGATTTTCCAGAGGATGATTCTGTGTTTTCACCACTGCCTCCATGCATGTCTTTTAGTATTTATATTAGAAGAATATGCTAGAATTGATCTGTTCATGCTTGTTGGGTCTTCCAAGTGCCTTCCTAGACCTACCCAGTGTAGACCAATACATGTTCAGAAATACCAGTTACGTTGTAATGCTTCACTTTTTCTAGGTTACTTCAATAATTGAATAAAAAAGGTTGGTTTAAATTTGCCCTTTGGATTCAGTTTTTCACTGTTTCAGTTGTAGGGGAATATTTCAGCATGGGGAAGCAGCAAGCAAGCCAGGAGCAAGCTGTTCCTAGGGCAGGACCTCAGGAAAAGAAGATTTTATGTAACATTCCCCTCCACACAAAGCCAAACACAATGAAAAAGAGACACACACACACACACAAAAAAGTCCTATTTGCCAACTCAGAGCTCACCAGAACAATCTGTTTCCCTCGATTTCATTTATTTAAAGAAAAATCTGGTAATTCATCAGAAGTCAGAATTCAATTTCCTGTTTTCTTTCCCAAACAGGCCAATTAATCCCGTTTCAAACTGCATGCCAGAGCGGAGCTGTTCCTAATTGCACTGAGCAGGCAGGGGCTGGAAGCTTTCCTGCCTTCATCTGCCCACTTTGCCCAGTCTGTGGTCAGTCTTGGGGTCAGCAATGATGGCCTGGACGGCCACGATGGCTTCGTTGATTTTGGTCTGCAGCTCCCGCAGCTCCTCGATGTGCAGCAGGCGCAGGATTTGGGCAGCCTCGTTGATAACAGCATCTGGGGAGGGGCACAGAGAGGAGCTGGAATTATTCATCATTTCATCCAGCATTTTATCCAGCATTTTTCAGCTCACAGGAGGGATTGAAGGAAGTTTTAGTGCTCTGCATGGTGTTCCTGCTGGTGGTTTCCAGGGTGGAGAGAGAGAAGCATGGAGAGGGGTGGGGTGGCATCCAAAGCTTCCCCACCATCCTGCAGCCCGGGCTCAGGGAATGAGGGAATCATGAAAGTAAAATTTTTTAATAGAAAAAATCAAAAACCAAACCAAATTCAAACCAAACCAAAAACAACGACCAAAAAAACCAACAAAAAACCAAAAACAAAACAAAAAAAAACCCCTAAACAAACAAAAAATCCCCAAAAAACAAAACAAAAACAAAAAAACCCAAACCAAAACCCCAAAAAACAAAACAAAAGAAAACCCAAAACAAGAAAAAAAATTACAAAAAAAATCCCCAAAAGCTCCCCAAAAAACCTTCCATAAACACAAAAAAAATTAATTCGGAATGCCTAAAAAGCTTGAATTAATACAAAAATAAAACATACAAATTAAAAAATTCATAAACTTGTACTTCTATAATTAGAAATAAAAATATGCATTAAATAAAGAACTATATTAATAAAATAATAAAAATTATAACACAGAAATACAATTATATAAAATAAATAAAAATGTTAAATGTAATAAAAATTCACAACGAAAATACAATAAGATTTTTAATATTATAATAAAATTTATAACATAAAATAGAATTATATAACAAATTAAATTTTAAAATACTATAATAAAAATAGATAAATATAATAACTCATGAATCAAAAATATCCACATTACAATAAAAATTAATAAAAATTAATAAATTTTTAAAAACCAAAAGGCTGGGTTAGGCTGGAAGGACTTTAAGGATCATCTCATTCCAACCTCCCACTCCAAGGTTGGTGTGAAACATTCCAAGCAGTGATTTGAGTGATGTGGAGCAGAGGTGAAGCCAAACTCATGGAGCCCTAGTTCACCTGGCTGGCTGTTCCTTATCAATAACCCATCAGATTTATCAATAACCCATCGGATTTATCAATAACCCCCCAGGTGATGCCACCCTGAGCTGCCTGGATGGGATGTGAGGAAGGCAGAGGCAGCAGCAGGAAAAAAAATTACAAAAAAAATCCCCAAAAGCTCCCCAAAAAACCTTCCATAAACACAAAAAAAATTAATTCGGAATGCCTAAAAAGCTTGAATTAATACAAAAATAAAACATACAAATTAAAAAATTCATAAACTTGTACTTCTATAATTAGAAATAAAAATATGCATTAAATAAAGAACTATATTAATAAAATAATAAAAATTATAACACAGAAATACAATTATATAAAATAAAAAAAAGTTAAATATAATAAAAATTCATAATTAAAATATAATAAGGTTTTTATATTATAATAAAATTTATAATATAAAATAGAATATATAGCAAATTAAAATTTGAAATATTGTAATAAAAATAGATAAATATAATAACTTATGAATTAAAAATATCCACATTACAATAAAATCAATAAAAATTAATAAATTTTTAAAAACCAAAAGGCTGGGTTAGGCTGGAAGGACTTTAAGGATCATCTCATTCCAACCTCCCACTCCAAGGTTGGTGTGAAACATTCCAAGCAGTGATTTGAGTGATGTGGAGCAGAGGTGAAGCCAAACTCATGGAGCCCTAGTTCACCTGGCTGGCTGTTCCTTATCAATAACCCATCAGATTTATCAATAACCCATCGGATTTATCAATAACCCATCGGATTTATCAATAACCCATCGGATTTATCAATAACCCCCCAGGTGATGCCACCCTGAGCTGCCTGGATGGGATGTGAGGAAGGCAGAGGCAGCAGCAGCAGAGCTGTCCTCTGCTGGCAGCAGCAGGATTCACCACCAGCAGGATGCATTCCTTGGGCTGCACTAAAAGCTGTTATTTCAACAGATTCCAAACAGATTGGATTGAGGCTTGGCTGTTCCAAACCCAAAATGCTCAGGGATGCTCATAAATAACCAGCTGGGAGGGAGGAATTCTTTCCACTGCAGGGTTTTTTACTGTCCACATCAGCTCTGGGTTTGACAGTAATAACTCTGTCAAAGGCAAACATTCCCATTTAAAAGTCACATTAGGAGCAGTGCTCACCTCCCGTGTCAAATCCAAGAATGTGCTTTTCCAGAGCAACAGGCAGACCCTGGAAAAGGGAAAAAAAACCTGTTAAAAATGTCATTTAAATGTATGGTAAATCAAATCAAGCACTGCAGCAGGAAACTGGGGGAGAAAATATGGGTTTTGCTTAGACAAAAATGTGTGAAAAGTTTGAGAAGTTGATTGAACAACTCCCTTTGTGTCCTGAAACACCAAACCCAGGGTATTATTACAGAAAAATCTTCCTGCTTAAGAATCCCTCACTGGATACACAGTGCCTGCATTCAATCCTTAAAAGGCCAACAGCAGGACTGGGAGCCATCACCCAATCCTGCAGCTTCCCAGGAAAACAAAACTTTCTTAGAAACTTCTGCCTTTCAACAGCTGCCAGCCTTTGAGCAGGGGCTGATTGCACAGAGCTGCAGAAATTCTCTGTAATCAAGTTTTGCTGAGCTCACAACATCCCCAGAAGCATCTGCTCAAGTGTTAAGCTTAGGAATAAAGGGAAATATTCCACTTTCTAAACATTTTCTCTATTGAAACACTCCAAGGTAAAATTTATTAGTGGTTGTTTCTAAGGATTGCTCTGTTTCCTTTGTCCAGCTGCAGAGGAGTGGGCACACTAAATCTTTACTCAGGGAGCTTCAGCATGCACTTAAAATTAGATTCAAACATTCCAAATGCCAGAATTTGCTTTTATTACCCTCAGTGAGTTTTTTCAACATTTGCCAAAAGCCTTGCATTCTGCACAACAAAAACATCAGAGTTCAATACCATTAATTTCTGCAGGGATGGGGCTGTAAAGCTTTTAGACAGTGAAAATTTCCTTTAAAGGCTTTTATACACATGGAGAAAAAAAAGAAGAATCTGAGCTGATCAGAACACACATTAAACACAAACTGGTGGCTGCAACTCATTTGCAAAAAGTGGGGTTTTTCCATGGCCTTTATAGTAAAATCCACGTTCAATGCAATCTTAAAAATCCATTTCCACTGTTAAAATTGGTGATCAAAATGCCACTGAAGCCACTTCAGAAAGATTCCAGAAATATCAGACTTCCTACAAGGATTTTTTTTTTTAAGAACTGAGGTTTGTATTTAAGGTCTCTGCCAGCCTGGGGTGTTCCTGAGGAAAAATTGTCATTTTTTTGTCTTTTTTTCTCTGACAGTTCTTTGTGGATGAGTTCCCCCAGTGTCACCTGGTAGCAGGAAATTCCTTACCCTCCCTTCTTCCCACACTCCCTGAGTCTGACCCTTTTTGGGAAGCTGCCTTTGGAATCCCTCAGCCCATACTACAACAAGCTCATGATCCTTCCAACAGAAAACTGAAAAAAAGAGCACCTTTACATCAGGAACTACACACACAACTTCACTTCCAGCCTCATTCCCTACAAATCTGATTTATGAATGCTGCACAAAAATGTGGCTATTTACCAATCTGTCAAAACCTGAAGAATAAATCTAATTTTTTTTTTTTTTTTAATTCCCAAGCCAGCCATCCTCCCTGCTTTGGAGATATTTCCTTTTTTTCCCCTGGCACATGAAGATGTTGATGGTCCCTCCTGGCACAGATTTTCCTGCTTCTCACCACTCCCTTTTCTTCACACCCCTTGGAATGTGGCACTCCTAAGGAAAAAACACTCCCAGGTTATCTCCCAGACAGAGACCTCTCAGCCCTGCTGATGCTTTGAAGATCTATCAGAAATTAACAATTCCCTGGCAAGAAAAAAAAAAAAATTCCCTGTTCCTCCAAGAAAATCCCATTTTGATCCCAGCTGTGCAGCTATGAAAACAACAACTAAAAGCTGCTTTTTATTAACATTACAGAACCTTAAAATGAAGACAACAGGATCAGCTGCTTTCCTATTTTCCTGCTCTTTGAACGGTTTTATGGATGTGCAGGTCCAAAGCTTTGATTAATAAATAAAGAAATAAATAAATCATGGATTGTTGTGAGCAGCTGCCAGAAAAATGAAGGAATTTGGGCTCTTTGAGCAGATCCAGCTGCTTTGGCAGGGACACTCCTACACCTGCAGGGCAGGTGAGGCTGCCTTTCCCAGCCTTTCCCAGCTCTGCCAAATGCTGGAAAGATCTGGAATGATGAGAAAATCCCAAACAAAAAACCCACAGTCATCCCCTAGAACACCTTCCCAACAGACAGCTTGTGGTTAGCAAAGAATTCTGTAAAAATCTGACTTTAAGGGCAGAAATTTCCTTCACTGCTCTTTTTTTTGGGGGGGAAGAGAGGAGGGAGGAGCTGGATTTCCAAC